TATTGGCTTATTGCGAACTTCCTCTATATCCGATGGAATTGATACTAACGGAATGGTTTTATTATTCATTTGTTTTCTTTACATAATTCATTCTTCGATTAAATAAAAATTGTGCGAATAATTTTGTGATTTGCTATACATATGCAACTATAATTGTAATTCATTTGCTTTTTATACCTATAATTAAATTTTCATAATTGCTAATATTATATTGAATTCTTATATACAACGTACTGAAAGTATAAAATAATTGTTTATTTACAATAAAACATAAAGATATTTCCCTCATTATTAGTTTTGTAATAGTTTAATAAATATAATATATTTGCTATATTAAATTATTATTTCACATCAATATTTTACATAATTGAAATGATATAGATTTAAATATTTAAATAAAATACTTAAAATATAATTATTTATTTATTTCTTTGTTGAACATTTGAAACCTCAAGAGGTTTATGGAAAATGATAACTGTTTATGTTGCATGTTATGCCTTTAACTCGTAGCTATTTTAGCATAATTGAATACGATACGCAACTTTAGCAATGTAACTTACTATTAAGTGCAATATTATAAAATATTCAATTTTTTATTTCATATCTGACCTCGTCTGACTTTGGTGGTCATACTGTACATGTTTAAATTCGTCTGGACAGCTGCTTTCATAACATACAAGAAGTATTCTATTTAGAAAACATGAATGTCGTCTTCATATCTCAAGAAACATTGTAAAAATAAAAAATTTGCGTACGCTGTCATGTTCCCCATAAAGAACATTGAAAATTTCCCCTTTTTCACTTTTATCGAATGCTTGCCATTTTTCGAGAAAAATGCTGGTACAGTATACTACGAGCAGTTTGTATAATAACAACTTTAACTTAGGACTAATATTTATTATCTAACAGCGAACAACTTTACATTTCATCAAATTATTTAAAAATTACAAACATCTCTTATTATAATGACAAGTATAAATGTGCAATACGAATATTTTAACACTGAAAATCGCTCATATGTAGGTATAGAAAATTTGTGAAATAAGACTCCTCTGAATTTCTATGATTAATATTTGACAAAAGTTACATTCCATTTCATAATTCCAAATATAACATACAACTACCATGGACAGTAATAGCTTTAATGATCATGAATAGTAATCATTTTAAATTATATATTGTAAGTAATGATAAATTCAACTCATTCAGATCGTTCATTAATTCGTATCATTAATAACGTAATTAATGATTTAATAAGTAATGTTATAGTATAATACACTACTGAAATCAGTTATAATATTGATATTATGAACGGTCCAATTGTACTAATTAACTGAACAAAAGCGACGAGATCCTATAAGGCTTAGTAGATTAAATAAAGATACATTTGTAACCTTTATGACAATTAAAAAAAGAATACAAGCACAAAAGGTGGGTATAAAACCAAAATGACATGAGAAGTGTCTCTCTGACTATTTTTGGCAATATAATAATAAGTATATAAGCAATGAAGGAAAGAAAGTTAAATGAATATAATTTATTATAGAGAGTAAAATAAAGTGACTCCATGCAACTGATTCTTTTCTTTTTTATTATTTAATTCTTTACATTCACAATTTGTCCAATTTGGATATTTGGTGGAATTTTTTAGCTGTTTGATTATCATGTGAATGGCTACCCCCAGCGGGATACCATTTTCGTGTTTGTTAGGTTGTGTCCTTTGTGATCAACTGATTCTTGTTCATACTTTTTCTTTTTCAACCTTGACCTTCATACAACTTTCTTTCATCTTTTATTCTAAAGCATATATGTATGCTTCCTTTTCGTCTTAATTACTGGTGAAATTATCTCTGTTGTTTGAGCATTGCAGTAAAGGAAAAACTGCTGAATAAATCACATAAATTGTACATTTATTGCCTTTATGAATGATGAGTATTCTGACCTTTTTATAACACTACGTGATACTAGACCAGGCTTTGTATAGTAGTTTAACTAGAAATATCGCTTGTTTAATGTTCAGTGAAAAATGTTTACAACTGAAAATACACCAAGGACACTTGCTTTCAATACATCCATTGATTTTAACAACAGAATAATTTGAATTATGTTCCAGTGTTTATATCACAATGTTCGATTTATAGTATTACAATCAACTTGTTATTTCTATTCTTAGATATTTCAAATGTTACAACATGCAAGTTGTACTAAAAACTTTTTTTCGATAATTTGTTGATCTATTATTAAATTTAAATTTAAAAAAATATGAAGTATTACAAAATTCTATTATTGGTGCACAATTACATTTTTTCTATTCATAGTATTAATTACAATATTGTAAAATGTGCAAATAAACGTATTATTAAAAATTATTCTTGTCACTAGCAAAGCGAGTTTTCCACATTACTATTTTTTTATCTTTGTGCGTCGACATGCGCAATAGCAGGTTTTCTTATCAGATTAATACCATTCGCTCAGCAACTGCCACGCTTGTTTATCATAGTAAAAAGACGTTGAGTGTGAATAGTAGCTGGAACTCGCGACATCGTCATCGTAACACGGGAGAACTCACACGAATTTAGCTTCACGATGCTAAAATCACTCATTCACAACCACTCACAATCATTTGCAATAGAAATCAATAGCATTTGTACTGTAGTAGTAACCGTGCATGGATTGGAAATCAAGTTGTGTTAATTCGAATTAGGTCGCATTTATTCTCATTGTTCAATTTCTTGAGGTCCTCAGGTTGAAGAGTAACCGTAGTAAAATATAACCTGCATCCATCTGAAGGAAATGTATTTTATAACGGTGAAAGAATTATCCAAATTGGTTGAATAGTTTCTGAGATTATCTTGAACACACATATACCTACATACGCACGGATCTCCCCTCTCTACAATATTAGTAGTGGAAGACGAGAGAAACACGACCATTGAAAATAAAATTTAAATAAAAACCAAATTACAGGTAATGATCACTTTTTAGTGTTTAAATATTTCTCTTTGGATCTTCTACAAACAAGGTAAAATAACAAATTATAGAAATTATCATAAAAACATAGAACTTTTACATGATAACAGAGACGTTACTGTCCATAATCGTCGAAAGCCTTTCGAATAATTGCAGTCGGTTATTTGGGTAATTACGGACAATATGAAGTAATTAAAAATGAGGTTCACTTATTATCATAAATATCACTAATATTTGTAGAACTGGCGCCAGTGCAGTCTTTATATGTCTATTTTAAATATGTGATGCATATTATTCAATCCTCCCTTGGAGGGGAAATATATTTCATTCATTGCAAAATATGCAGAAATATTCCTCTTTTTTCATTGTTTTTCTCTATATCCTTCAAATTTTTCACAACCTTCTTTCTGTTAATCTTTGGTTTCTACCCTGTTGGTTTATTTTCTCTCTTTTTAGCTTGATTTATTACATATTTCTTTTTCTTCCTTCTCTTTTATAATTTTTATTGGATGGATTTTGTTGGCATTAAAATTTCTAAGTGCTTCTTCCTTCTAAATACTTTTTTGGTTTCTATTACAGGAGTATCCATTATATCTTTCAACGCAATACTCTTGCCTCGTTTATTTTGATCGAAACAGAATTATTTTAACTACTATCATTGCAATGTCTACTATCAGCTGACTATCGAATTTATTTAAGATATAAGTGACTGCTGAAATAAAATCTGACATTATTTCTTTAAATTTAGAATTCGTTGTGTCGGAAACCAGCTCCCTAGATTTGTCACCGCCAAATGAATAATTTATATAAATTTCAGCATAAATAATGGGGCAACACCAAATATCAGTTATTGTATGCAATATGCAAATTGACATAACTTAAAAAAGAACGATTGGCTCAAAAGATATTCTTGAAAACATAAAAAAGGTACATATAACATTATTTTAAATCAAATAATAACGTATTGAAACTAAATTTGGCACGATATTTTTGCTTACAAAGTTATAATACGAAAATACAATGACAAAAGTATTTTTAAAAAATTGTCGAATATATATTTCGTGACGTACCTTGAAATCTACACATAACCTATCACCGAGAATATTTTTCTAGTACTGAATGAATTGGGTTAGTTCGCGAGCTACAACGGCGAAGAGAGATCGCGAATATCATTTAGGGGACGCCCTGATTTATTCGACGTCTTTTATCATTTGTAACTTGTCATAGAAATATGTTCACAAAAGTTTAGTCGCGAACTAGACGAGCTAATTTCGTAATTTATGTGCTGAATATATTATAAAATCAATAATAACATAAGTGTGTGTAATACACACATTCTAATAGATATGAAATAATGCGTTACTTTAGATACGATTGAGTCTTTAAATAGTTAATACTTTCGTTTAATTCATATAAATACAAATAATTTTATTTTTAATGTATTGTACAATTATAACAATCACATATTCAGTTAAGATATAACATCCTTATACGTATTACAATAATTAACAATTACTTCGTTGTACGAAATAATTAGTATTTGTTTTTAGTGTATTCGCTTAATAAATGAAATTTCCGCCTCAATTTCTTAATTTTATATTTTTATGACAATTGAATGCAAGATTTCACGTGAAATTTTTCAGACCTCTTGACGAAGTTTAATGTTACTAATATTGTAATCTAAACAGTTGATTAAAATTATATTTTGAATTAGAAAATATTCAATGGATTTAATACATGTCATACACAAATTATTTTTACATTAATTACTTCTAAAATTTCCGTACGCTGTCCATTTAAATACAATACCAACTTTGAAATAAAGATTGTTGAATAAACAATGTACAAATATCATTATGGCAATAAATAAAGCTTTCGTAATCGTTTTGTTTCTCTGCAAAATGTTCGTTTATTATTAAATACTCTGGAACATGTTTGGAAAACATTAATTACTTGTTTACTCGATTATTATTTGCTATCAAACGCAAATACTAGCAACATAATTTTTATTGGGTCTCACTGACATTTCAGTGAATTACTTACATAACTATCCATTGAAATAGACCTTCAATTGTTATTGAAATAAATATAAGACAATTCACATCGAGCTGCTAAGCTGTCCAGACATATTTACATTGCTAATCGTAAGTGCCGTACGATATAGAGCGATACTGTGCTACTAACTACTCACATACACGAGTGATTTTTAATACTTTTTAGTGAATCTTAACGTCAGGGTTAGTAGCAACGCGGTCATGCCACCTGCGGAGGCAGGGTATGATCCACTGCTGCAGTAAATAAATCCAAGCCAGGAGCTTGGAAGATGGTAGACACATATTTCTGAGCACAGAAGTTTTGGAACTAACGTCACCAATGTTGAATCTAACTAAAGTCACTACAATCGAAAATACTCAGAACAATAGTCAACTCCATAGTATGTTAGAAACGAGGATATACGCAAAGACCTACAAATACCAATGGTCAAAGAAGAAATCGGCAGATACGCAAAAAAATAAAAAAAAAAAAAATGGCAACACATCCAAACCAGCTGGCTGCTGAAATGAGCAAAATCCGTATAAAAAAAAAGATTAAAAAGTAAACATCCCACTGACCTTGCTAAAGAAATAAAATAGGCAAATTCGAAAATGGTAACCCACTGGAGGTAGCCATCCACATGCTATTTAGCAATAGGGTTAGAAAAATTTACCAAATGTCCCGCTGGACAAATTGTAAAGCACAAATTAAAAAAAAAAAAAAACAATGTTGGATCCAAGATATATATGTCGGAGATGAGGGGACATCGGGGCCTTTCTTTTGGAATTTTTGGGAAAATTTACTAGACTTTAGTCTAGACTATTTATTATAGCTCTACTTAAATGATAAAATTTAGAAATAGTTGTTATGATTCAATAGTTGTTATGATATGAAATTTGTGACGGTGGGCTTGGGCTCGAGGTGACGCAACTGATCACCGAACGTAGCCACGGTCACGGAATAAACGTTTTTACCTAACAGAGAAGTGCCAATATTGTAGGGCACACGTTGTATTAACAATTAAATCCCGGGCAGGAGCAATGTCAGCTCTACGCGGGTCTGCCTAGCAACGGCGGCTGGAATTTTATTGGTATCCCCGGCCAATATGCAACGAACAAACGCGATCGTAAGGAGAGGAAAATTTCCATCAATCTTTTATTCTTGCGATCAGCTTGGAGAATTTGTACATCGTCTTTACGTGCATTATTATACCGAGCGTCACAGCAAACGTTGCTTTGTGCTTCAAAATATATTCTACGTTTAACAAAGAGTTACCCTGTTGACCGTGGATTTGTTATTGAACCTAAGAACATTGCCACTAACTCTCGAGTGTTTAACCACTACGGTTATTTGTCAAACTTTGTAAAAATCAATATTTATATCAGTAAATATAATCTCTATTGTGCAACAACGATGGCTAGTCCGAATGAAGATTCGTTACACGTCCATAAACCTAAAGTTAACCCGACATATATATATATATAAAGGGAGAGGAAGAAAGAGTTTGTGGAATTCCCCAGAGTGGGAAAAAATATTATAGAAGGCGTTAAAAGGCTGACGTTGTTGTAAGTGCCTCTGGTTTTTATCTCGACCAGGAGTTGTACCACATATATCCAAGTCAAAGGCGTCTGTTCTTAAGCAGTAGTTGTAAAAACGACCTTGACTACGTAACGGCTTGACACGACACAACACGTGGCTCCCAAATTCAAGGAAAGGCCAGAATACAACACCGAAAATACAGAGATTCTTGAAAAGTCTAACCCAGTACCAACTTACGCATGAGTAATAATAAGTAATACATAATGAAGTAAAAAAGCAGTTATTTTAGCTGAATCTCCAAAGTTTGCATCTGTATATACCTTGACAGTCAACAGATCTATCAACTCCTGTCAAGTAGGCAACAGAATCGGAATTCCTAGTGTAAAAACTACTCCGCATCACCCTCCCGATGATGTCGCTAGTAACCATGCTAATGCTATTTACATTAAATATTAATAGAAAAAGAATATATATATGTAGTTTACAGAAAGTCATTTATTTACCATATGATATACATAAAAACTTACACTAATTCTGTATCTTCTGTATATAATAAACCTAGCAAAATATTCATTCATTCATTACATATAATTCTACCAAATGTCCAAATCGGACAAATTGTGAATGTAATTAACTAAATAAAAAAAAAATTCATTACATATAGATATCTGCAAATATTCATTGGAATAAATACAGCGGAAGAAAACTTTACCAATTATTCCAATAAAGTTTAAGATAAAATAATTGATGGTGAGTTAGACACAACAGGTAGCAAAATCCTATTTATATACAGGGTGGTTGATAACTGGTGGTACAAGCGGAAAGGAGGTGATTCTACGCGAAAAAAGAAGTGGAAAATATGGAATAAACATTTTTTTTTAATTTTTTTTTTTAATTTTTCCATCGAGACAACGATCTACAGTGAGATCCATTATAACGTACCGCACGCGTACTGAGCGAAAATTCAAAGTCAATTTTCTCGAAAAAAAGGCTCAAACGAAAAATTTTTATTGTATATTTTCGACTTCTTTTTTCGCATAGAATCACCCCCTTTCCGCTTGTACCACTATTTACCAACCACCTTGTATATCCTATTTGTTCTATTTATCCCGAAATCCTATTTATATATATCTTCATCCTAAGCTTCAATATAAGTTCAATATACAATGTTTTATAAAGCCAAATAAATGGCGCATTAATCTTTCAAGAAAAACGTAATTCATTCAATTTTCCCTCTTTTTTTCGTTGTGTGATTTATATTCACGTTGTGCTCGTAATACATGTACTTCGTTACTAAATGACATGAAATGAAAGTACGGCATTAACATAAGCTCGAGCTATCGCAGTTTAGTAACTTAATTTGGAGAACGACTTTGTAGTTGGAAATTTTGCGCAAAACCAAAAATTAGAACTTAAACGTATTCGAATAAACGTTTTATAACGTAACTTTAATGAGTTATTTCCGCAATATTTATTAATATATCATATGCTAGTACATCTATTTTTTTTCTTTTTTTATTATTTAATTTATATTTCACAATTTGTCCAGCTGGACATTTGGTAAATTATACATCTATTTGAATCATATAGATTACAGTTAATGTTGATATGGGGATTAATTTAATATATATATATATATTAATTCTACTTCATCTATTTTATGTATCTATTTTTGATCGTACAAATTTTTCAAGTAAAGTGATTAATTTTAAAATTAATTTATTTATGAATTAAATTAGTTCTATGATAATAAATCCTAGTGATCTTTACAAGAAAGAGATTTTAGAATTTATAACACGAAAGTTTCAAATACTTCGTTCACGTTGTTTAATTTATTGCAATTGAAAGTAAGATTTATTGTCGTCGATGAATTTATTCCAGTATTTTATGAGCAGCTGATACTTATTCCTAAATTAGTATTTGTAAATAATTCACTACGTACACGCCTATTACTACAATAGTATGAACTTTATAAAATTAAATAAAATTAACTTAAATAAAAATCGGATAAAATTATAACTTAAGCGTAATTCATATCAAGAAAGATTTACATTTTGCGTTTTCAATACAGCATTTTTTCTATTAAATAAAAAGTGTTCGTATACCTTTATTATCTTTTTAACGTAACTATGATGCCGTAGCAAGAAAAATTGTGTCATTTCAGTCACTTTGTACCACTGATTAGTCAAACATTTGGTATGAATTTTTTCAATTAAAAGTTTTAATTAAATTTGCCGCTCTAATACCGTTGTAAAATTTCCTGGCGCATACAACACCTTCCATTGATCTTCGTCTTCCCGCTAGTCAATCAGTTTTATTACATTTTTTCTACCTCGTTATACGCGTGCTGGAATTCCAGAGTGCGAAGTATATTACACAGTACAATTTTAGCTTCCATAATATCGTAATTCTATAATATTGGCCTTTAATATGAAACTTTTGCATATTTGAAGGAACCTTATTTTCAATTTTTTAGGAAATTGAAATTAAGATCTTCAGATTAAAGTCTTAGCCTATAATGACTCATAAATGAAAGGCTGTTAACAAATTACTTTAGTACAATGAAAATTAATTTTACGATAAATAGAAAACCTAATATGATATGTTACCTCTTGGCTATTAAATAGTATAGGAACTAAATTGATTTAATAAAAGATATACACATATAGTATACAGCTTAGTGTGATATGTATTACGTATAGAACAATTTTTTGATTAAAAGTATATATTCGTTCAATTTATTCTTATGATCTTGCATTCGTATATTTACATACAATAAATATACTAATGTAAAAATCAATTGAGATCAAAGAAATATATAAGATGTATATAATATAAAATATACACATATTAAAAAGATGAAAATGCACATCAATTATTGAAATATACAATATGTTATGTTGCTGCAGAAGCCTGAGTACGGAATAGGGAAAATGTTAGGTCCTTTCGACAAACTCACAAAATTTACCAACCAATGTCGGTATATGTATGTAAGTCAGAAATATTATGAAATCAATATTTATTTCGTGCTAGTACCGAAATTAATTATCAAACTTCAACATTTACTAAATATTGAGCTGCGGCAAATGTCAGAGGTTTCATTTAGGGACGTGTACGTACATAATCGCGATTTTGTTTGTTTTGATGGCAAGTGACAAGAGGATTCTTCAGTCGGGTGACAAAGTTTACACATGTGCGACCGCAGTAAAAGCTTTTTTGTTCCAATTTATACGTTATCACTGCTCTTTCATACCATTATTGAAGCAAAATGAGCGTAAAGGAAAGATTCTATGAATAGGAATCTGAGTTTATGTTGTGAAATATGAGCAAGTAGGAGAATCGCGCAAGTTGCTCGCTCGAAGAGATATGGTCTAGATAGATGTTACAATTTTAAGATTATGATGTTCATAGCTTTACAAGGCTTTACAAGGTCATTACAGGGTAAAATAAATATCGGTATGAAGAGTCTCCCTCAAAATCGTACAACATTTGGTTCAATCATTTTTTTGTTTCATCAATAGTTTTCGAGTTATTTACGTGTTTTCAGATAGAATGGACATACATATGATATAAATGTTCCACTTCATGGTAAATATTGACAAAAGGGGACCCAGCTCCAATTATTTTAACCTTGACACATATTGTCAAGAACACTCTACTCAGTAATCTCCAGAAGGTTTTAGTCGTCGCTCCTTATCCCTCAAGAAGTTATTAACAAAAAAGATCTATAAAAAACAATACATGGTAGGTATGTATGTATGGTAAAGAAGCACCACAAGCGTTGCTCGCTCGTTCCACTCGTTCGTAAAAATCTAATCCAACCTAATATCAATCCTATACGTGAGTGGAGCGAGCGAGTGAGGAACTTTAAAAAAAAGATATTTTTCCTTAAAAAATGGGACTCCTTTCGCTTGCACATGAAATTGATACTAGATTGGATAG